AGTCTGGGTTAAACATTTGTCCATGTCGCACGTGTGCTAAACTGCTCTCATAACAACTGTGTTCCTCTTGCTTGTTATGGCTCCCAAACACCCTCAACCACCTTCATCATTATTCATCAGTGGCTGGGGAGAGGAAAATGGGATCTACACAGACAGCCAGCAAGGAATGGTGAGTGTTAATCTATTTCTTTATAACAGTTGTTTTTTATTATGTTATCACAGGAAAATTAATGGTTTATATAATTTGTTTATCACTGAGCCCATACCATTTTCATAGACTACAAAATATATTTTTCTCCCATACGTATGATACTGTATATAGTAAACCCCTAATATAACAGACGACATCAATAACGAACTCGGTTTTAACGGACATTCGGATTCAGGTTCGTTAAAGTAAAAAATAACGGCCCATTCATATCCAGATGATCACAAATAATTACAATAATATTGTACTCCATTTAGTTTTACCCTGCATAATGCTGATTCTTTATAGAACTCTTTGGTCCTGTCCTGGAGTTATTTTTTATAAGGGGAAAAAATTAAAATCCTTAATACAAGGCAAAAGTTACAAGACAGAACACTCAAGACTCACCGACATCGGCCTTGCTTGTTTACAGTCTCTCCACCAATGAGACCGACGTACCCATGTGTACTCGCTGCCAATCAATGCTTTCCTCTTCGTGTAAAATATTTTACCAGTGGCATTTAACTTGTTCGACATTCTTGCTCTTTTATGACTAATTTCTGCATATTGTAATACAGTAAATATTTGTGACTCAAGTTATTTTTACTAGAGAAAATGAAAATCCATAATACATACAAGTCAGCTGTTTTCTTGTGCCTGGCAGGCAGCGGTCATTATCCCCCCCCTCCACAACTTACAACCAACAAGTGCTGTTTGTGTTACTAACATGTAGAGAAACTTTGTTTATTCCACTAACCTCCAGGCTGCCACTCTGTCACCCCGGTTTGAATGCGTTCTTATCCTGCAAACACCAGTTGTTGATGGCGAGTGTTCTCACCATCACCAAAATAACCAACACTCACTACCACCACTGTACTGTGTACATTGGTACTGGCCTCTATAATTTCTTTTGATTCATATTACAGCTGCATAACATTCAAACTCACTGTGCTAGTGTTATGTCACAAAAAAAACTAAACTTTTGGAAGGCATAATTCGTATGCTGTATGTTGTTTTATACGAATTATACCAGTGTCCATGCATATAATCTTAAGTATGTGAACTGATAGTATTAAGGGAGAACTCAAGGTACAGTCACCCAAAAAAGTCCTGTCGCGAACCATGAACCCCGAGATTCAGACTCTTGAATCCGAAGCATTTATGGACAGAATGATGTATCAGTGTCTACTGCTTCGGGTTCACGAGTCTGAATCGTGGTTCGCGACAGAACTTTTTTGGGTGACTGTACCTATATGCTGATTGGGTGGTGAGTGTTGATGGTGGTGGTGAGTGTTGATGGTGGTGAGTGTTGATGGTGGTGAGTGCTGATGGTGGTGAGTGTTGATGGTGGTGAGTGTTGATGGTGGTGAGTGTTGGTGGTGGTGAGTGATGATGGTGGTGGTGAGTGTTGATGGTGGTGAGTGTTGGTGGTGAGTGTTGGTGGTGATGGTGAGTGATGGTGATGGTGAGTGATGGTGGTGGTGAGTGTTGGTGGTGGTGAGTGTTGATGGTAGGGAGTGCTGGTGGTGGTGAGTGATGATGGTGGTGGTGAGTGTTGATGGTGGCGAGTGTTGAGGTGGTGAGTGTTGGTAGAGTGTTGATGGTGGTGGTGAGTGTTGATGGTGGTGGTGGTGAGTGTTGATGGTGGTGGTGGTGAGTGTTGATGGTGGTGATGGTGAGTGTTGATGGTGGTGATGGTGAGTGTTGATGGTGGTGGTGAGTGTTGATGGTGGTGGTGAGTGTTGATGGTGGTGAGTGTTGGTGATGATGGTGGTGATGGTGAGTTTTGGTGGTGATAAGTGACCAACATGGTCACTTTGGACTATGTTGGTATATAATAGAGTTCGTAATTATTCCCGATCTGGATATAATAGACTTTCGGCTTTAACGGACAGTCCGTCCTTCCTCCCATTTAGTTTGTTAGATCGGGACTCTACTGTATGTAATAATGACACTTAAATAACAGATTATTCTATCATTAATCTAGATCATTTGGAAGTGAATAAAATTCCTTCTAATATCTTTGTTTGATAACACTACCATAATATTGTGTGATATTTGGACATACAGTACAGTACAGTACCCTGTAAATCTAAATGTGTAACACAAAACTGAATTTCATAAACCTGATCAACACTGTACAATATTTGCCAGTTGCATATAAATTTATTATTAAATATACACTGTAAGGTGTTCCATTTATGCATAACACATTTTCATTGTACAGTATAAGTTTTTAAGGTATATCTGTACTGCATACTTAAATAACTATTTTTTGGTGTTAAAGGTGAAGCCACAAAGATCTGAATAAAGGAACATAATATGTACCAAATAAAGATGAACTTAATATTAGAATTACTGAAGTCATCAGAGCTATTGATAATGACAAATGAAGGCAGTTATACACAATATACCTCTACTATTTAGTTGTAAGGAGTGCATAAATTATAATGGACAGCATTTAATGGATGTGACACAATCCCTCAGTCCTGTACTTCACAGTAAAAAAACATATTTTTTTATTTGTCATGTTTTATTACAAAATTAAATGTGTCAGATATATATAAATGAAACACACTGTAATGTATCGTTAGTTATGTTATTTTTTCGTGCAATCCGTGGTATTTCCTTTTCAGATTGCATAGTTGGGTTGATGTAAAGTTAAAGAAAGGAATAGGCCTCCATAAATGAATTATCTGTTAACAAAACACTTTGTGTATCATCTGTCAGTTGGATGAAAAATCTAGTTATGAACACAAAAGGAAAGAGGAGAGCTTGCAAACATTGGGCAATGTGCCAAGGCCAGGCAAAATGTGCAAGACATAAATTATATTGGTGCAATTATTGAACAATAAAGAGGAGTACAATAAGGAAGTCTACAATAAGGAAGTCTACAATATTCTGTGACATACAAAGTGCTATTCTGAATTAACAACAAACAAGGGCAAAACTGAAGGGCTGCAGAATTCCTTCAGGTTTTGTTGGTTCCAACATTTCAAATCCTAGTTGAGCCACAGGCAGCCATAGGAAAGACATACTGTACCAGTTTCAGAAAAACATGTACAGTACTATACATGTCACAAGAAGAACAGCTTAAATGAACTGACACTTACGTATGTTTTGCCGGGAAGTGATGATGAAATAAAACCTCAATATCGGTTCTGGCAATCTTGCTGCAGCTCATTTAGATAACAGGAAGGGATTACAACGAGCAGGAGTTTCAGATGTCATTGCTGCTGAAGGGAAGTATGTACCACATAAAGTGCAAGATCTCTTACACTTTTTCATGTACAAAACCACTTAGACTCAAGGTGAATTGAAACACACACTTCTTGAAATTATATTCCTCTGCTATATACTTCAACATGCTACACATAGTTAAAATACACCCACTGAACACAATGTGGAACTGGTACAGTGAACTAACAGTGGTGACTGGTACACTGGTACAGATATTCCTTTCATATTTTAGCTTAGCGGGTCATCATCAATGCGGGATAAATTAGTATCAAGGGTTGGTTATTTGTTCCACTTCATTTTACTTTTGCATCATCATGCATCAGAAAGGAAACCAGTATAAGTATGTTCCTGTAATAGCAACTAAGGTTTATAACAAGGAAGGATGTAACGATAGTGACATATACTCACTATGTAGCCTATCCTCCCAAGGACAATTTCTTGTCTTTAATAATGTACAAACTATCAAACTTAAAAATATATTATAAAGCATGCAGGTATTAAAGGGTTTAGTGTCAGCAATGATGCTGCCATTAATCCTATTCCAGAAAATTTACATACAGTACAGTATATATAATATTTTTTATATTTCTACTCATTTGTTGTATGAAGGTCAGTCAATAACAGAAGAGAGTATCATAACCGGTGAGTCTAATGGAGCAGAAGACAGTCTATGGCACTAAAATTGGTAAATACACTTAGAGGGTGTTATAGTGTATGGAGTCAATAACAGCAGAAAACATAAAAGAAATATATACAGTGATCCCTTGGTTAACAAGCGCCTCGGTTAACGAAATTTCGGTTAACGAATTACCTTCCATAAGATTCTTCACTTCGGATAACGAGCTAACCCTCGATTAACGAATTCCTTACGAATTTTTCCCAACATGTTTTCACCTGCATTTGGCTGCCCACCAGCTGTAGTATTAGTCCGCCAATACAGTAATCGGTTTTAGGGCTTAAATTCCTTTGCTTTAGGAAATATATTTTACATATTGATAATATATAGCACAGTGCAGTGTTGATTTAAAGAAAATAATCTTGAATTACACCAAGTGAACTAAAATTTTATGGGTGTAATGGCGGCATGGGGTGACTTCTCTTCCACCCCAATGCCTTCTCTTCTCCCTTCTCCTCCACCCCCATTCTAATTCCCATCATCATCATCATCAACCAGGAGCCTTCTACATGCACACCTCAAAGTAAGTGTACTTTATTGCATTTATTTTTAGTTTGTATGTAATTTTCGGTGAGCTGGAACCAATTACCCAAAAACCCATTGAAACAATGGTTTCGGTTAACGAGCAACCTTCTGGAACGAATTGTGCTCGTTAACCGAGGGACCACTGTACAGTAAAAACATGGTAGCACATTACACCCGTCATTAGATCCGCGAGGCTTGTCAATCTCTTTCATAAGGTGGTCACACATTCTTAGCTATGAAGAAATATACAAATTGACACAGCTTTGGCTAATGTAACTCTAAAAATGGGAATAGGGAAAATGTAAGCTGGCTGGATGTGGGAATAAAAACCAAACCTCTAAAAAGGCAATTGTCCAGGAATAGTAAACACCACTTTTTTTTTTTTTTTTTACATAACATGTGGGGATGTTGAATTTAAGTCTATTGTTTGTCACATTGTCAGGTGACTTCAAGCCCTTTAAAATGGCTTGGAAATAACTATGATGTATCTCAGCACATACATGGGGTAGACCAGCTATAACAATAATTATGGGGTCCTCTACTACATTTTTAAGACCAAAGAATTTATTTAGTACAGGTGCAGTCCCACAAAATAGTATCATTAGCCATGGGGTTGATGTGATTGGAGGCTTTCCGAACAATATCACTTGAACTGCTTCTGAACCGTTGGTAGTTCTACATCTGCAACCTTTGAGCATGAATGAGTACTGTACAGGTATATATGTTTTCGAATGATGAGAATCCTCCGAGGCTTCAGATCATATACCTGTACAGGTAATACATGAATTGGAGTTGTTATTGTGAATGAATACCAACACTATGCCAAACATCAATGGGATCTTACATAGAATGGAGCAAGGAATAATCAGAGACATCACAAGATGTGAGGTGTTATCATTGCCCTTCACAACGACGGTATATGTAATGCAGAGATAGCATGGCGAACTGGGATGAGCAAACCCACAGTATCATGGTGGGTTAGACTCCATGAAACAACTGGTGCCATACTGAAACTTACAACCACAAATATCTTACTACTTTAGGTTCCTGCAAGTCCCTTGATTTGAAACCTTATTTCAGTGTTAAACCAATGCAATTTATGTAACAGTAACATGGCAGAACCCATTTAGACCGATATATTGTATATTGCGATAGCTGTTCACTCTACTGTAATATCAAGCCCTGTTTGCTTAGTCACTTTTCATAAATCAGACATACCATAACACAAACAGTACAGTAGTTGTGACTGCCATATTCTTAAGGTTGGGGAGGAAAAAATATGTTTTTCATAAAATTAACTTATAGTACAGTGTACTTTCTCTCGATGTCTGTGTGTCCATACACAGTTACAGGGTAGTGTAAAGTAGCCTGTGAACCCTTTCCTCTCTCAAAAGTTGTATTTTTCTATACTCTTCTTTTCATACAACAGATCTTTTTCTAAAAAGCTCAAGTTATGGACAATAATACAATTTGTAGTAATAAAACCTCCACCTCCGATCTTCTGAAATGATTTTTGGAATATTCACATTAATCTACATACTCTATACCGGCAGTTCAATAAAAATATCACCAATATAAACGAGAACCTTATCACTTGGTTATGTCCACTGAATCATCATCACTGACATCTATCATATGATATTTCTTCATGTGTCTATTCATATTACTCTTTTGTCTACAAACATAAGAACAATATCTACATGCTAAGGGTTTCTCCCCAGTATGACAATGTATATGGGATATCAAAGTAGCTTTGCGTGTCACCCGCTGTGGGCAGTAAGGACAGAGAAATGGCTTCTCCCCTGTATGAGTGCGAACATGTCTCATAAGACACGTAGAAACATCAGTGGTATAATTACAGTAGGGACAATGATGTCTCTTGCCTGTTGTAGTGAGGTTCCTTAGGGTTCCCAAGACTTCTCTCCTTACAGTTCCCTCATCACCAGTGTCTTCCCTTACCTGTTGGGGAGGCTATCTTACTCAAGGGTACAACATAACTCACATGAGTATAAATGATATCCATGTTCACTAGCTTTGCTATTTAAAGCACTACAACAACCATGTTTATACAAAAAAACAACCACACATCCAAGTCAATTTTGCAGCAAATGTTCTCAAGAATTTGTCACTTGGGACCATATTTAATGCTATGCAATGTATTGCTGCACCTCATTTAGTTGAAGATTGAAACTGACACTGAAATGGAAGCTAATCACACAGGAAAAATGAGATGTTATGGGGCCAGAATTTCCACAATCAACCAACAATATATAACAGTAAATAAAAAAAAATACCCCACTATAGCAAAAAAGCTTAGTGTGTGTTCATTGTTTTACATACTATACAGTAGTTCATTTATACCTTCATTATTTGTTCACTTATATTTTACAATTTCTATGATGTTATATCATTACCATAATTTCTGCTAGTGGAAATGGCAATGGCTCTGTAGAGGGCCAAGGGCATGAAGTATTATACTGTACAGTACGTATATGGTGCACCAAGTCCTTCAGCCCAACACATACTGTACCAGCATGCACTCACAACCTACCTCACTCACTCACTCCCATCTTACTCACTCCCTCCCTTCTAGCTCACTCCCTCCCTTCTAACTCACTCCCTCCCTTCTAACTCACTCCCTCCCTTCTAACTCACTCCCTCCCTTCTAACTCACTCCCTCCCTTCTAACTCACTCCCTCCCTTCTCCTCCTCCCTCCTTCTAACTCACTCCCTCCTTCTCTCCTCCTCCTTCTCCTCCTCCCTCCCTTCTAACTCCTCCCTTCCTTCTAACTCACTCCCTCCTTCTAACTCCTCCCTCCTTCTAACTCCTCCCTCCTTCTAACTCCTCCTCCTTCAACTCCTCCCTCCCTTCTCTCACTCCCTCCCTTCTAACTCCTCCCTCCTTCTCTCACTCCCTCCTTCTCTCACTCCTCCCTTCTAACTCACTCCCTCCTTCCCTTTCACTCCCTCCTTCTCCACTCCCTCCTTCGCTCACTCCTCCTTCTTTCCTCCCTCCTTCCTAACTCACTCCCTCCTTCCTAGCTTTCACTCCCTCCCTTCTAACTCCTCCCCTCCCTTCTAACTCACTCCTCTCCTTCTCTCACTCCCTCCCTTCTAACTCCTCCCTCCCTTCTAACTCACTCCTCCCTTCTCTCCTCCCTCCCTTCTAATCCTCCCTCCTTCTCTCCTCCCTCCTTCTAACTCCTCCCTCCTTCTAACTCACTCCCTCCCTTCCTAACTCCTCCTCCCTTGCTCACTCCCTCCTTCTAACTTCTCCTCCTTCTAGCCTCCTCCCTCCCTTCTCTCCTCCCCTCCCTTCTCCACTTCCTTCCTCCTTTCCTCCCTCCTTCTAACTCTCCCTCCCTTCTAACTTCTCCCTCCCTTCTAACTCCTCCCTCCTTCCTTCTTTCCTCCCTCCCTTCTTACTCACTCCCTCCCTTCTCTCACTCCCTTCCTTCTTATTCACTCCCTCCTTCTCTCAATGCCCCGTCTTAATCGCTAGACTCTCTCTCTCCAGCTAACACAATGTAGAAGAAGACCCCATAACTACACAGTGCCTACCTTAAACTTCACACCTTGTAAACTAATCCCCCTCTCCCTAATTCTTTTTTTAACCAACCTTCACCGTAGTTAGTCAGAAAAACGTTGAGAGGGGTATGGGAAACAGATGCTCATGACCATATGAATTGATTCTAAAATACAGTATATTACCATACAGTATAATACTTCCATCATACTATTTCATTAATTAAAATTTGGCTCAATTTAAATTTTCAAATAAGAGTATAGTAATTATTTTCAGGATAGTTTTAAATTCTGGTAAAGGTTGCATTGACAAATCCCTTCGACTTACAAAATTTCATGTAAAATAAGTTGTATAACATAATAAAGCAGTACATAACTGTGAAAACTAAATACGACCCTGAAGTAGGAAATGTAAAATTAATGAATTCTAGAATGGTTTAGTATTGTAGCAGTAGCACCCCTCTAACAATGTTTTGTGCAGCTGATTGGCATTTCTATCCTATGTATGATATTGTTTATGCCAAGAGCACTGTGAAACTGAAAGACAAGAGGCCCTGTTCAAAGCTAAGAGGGCGACTGGGTATTGAGAGTACAGGGGAACCCCGATAACCAACATACCGTTGACCGGTGATTTGCTTAACCAACGATTACATATAGGAGAAGACCCTGCAAGTCTTGTTGAATACCTGGTTCATCGGACACTAAGGGTGGAGGAGCAGCATGGGTGTTTTTGAATTTGGCGTTCGGCTGCATGATACGAATTCTTACCACAAGAGGACTCTGTGCACATTAGCATCAGTTTTCCCACCATTAGGAAACCTCTGTTCCGCAGTCCGGTGTACCACGTTACCTCCAACTTCGTGTTTTTTCGCTAATTCCGACTTCGTGCATACACAATCATGCCTAACGCCCCCATGATAATGCCTCTAGTGCTGCCCTTAAGAGGGTTCATAAGGCTGTGAGCCTAATTGTAAAACTCGATGTGATAAGGCATAATAAGAGTGGTGATGGACTGGTAAAGATTGGTAGACACTTGAACTTGCCACCCTCAACCGTCTCTACCATCCTTAAGGAAAAAGCCAAGTACAGTGGTCCCTCGGTTAACGAACGGTTCGGTTAACGAAATTTCATTTAACGAATTACCTTCCATAAGAATCTTCAATTCGGTTAACGAACAAAAATTTGATTAACAAAATCCTTACGAACATCACGTTTTGTTGTGAGCATCAGCTGATGGGCTGGTCTGCCAATTCAGTAATTCAGTAATCTGTTCTATGTTTACATTCGTTTCCAGTGGAGTAAACATCATGAAAATTGCGCTCTTTAATATTTGTGCATTTTTTATATTAAAATTATTGGTCATTCTAAAATTTAGCTATCCAAGCTCTGTCTACATAAAGTTTTTCAACTATTATTTTTGGCTCGATATATGTAACTTTATTCATTTACAGTATTGAAACTCATTTACATGCACACACTGTCCTAAGTGCAAAGCTGTACTGTATATATAATCAAAATAATGTACAAAATGAATACTAAAATTTTAGTCTAGTGCAAACTAATGCATGTTTAAATTCAAATGAATCACTATCTTATAAGAATTCCAGCAATGTAAATTATACTCTCCCCAGTCATTTCACTGGCATTTTATTAGAGAGAAGCTTAATCATTTAACTACTGATAAATAAACACACATTAGACCTTGGGTGCCAACTGCCAAACGTATCACCTCACCCCCCCCCCATGCTCCCTCCCTCCCTCCCCCCCATCTGCCAAGCCAGGGTTTTAGGCTTACAGTTTTTATCATATATAATATCTCAGACTAAAGTTAGGAGAATATAATTTGCATTGCTGGAATCCTTGCAAGACAGCGAATAATTTGAATATTAACGTCATATCTTTTGCACAAGAGATAAAAATTAATCACCTGTATCTCATTACAGTACAGTATAGTCTGCATTTACGCGGTCAATTGAACCCGTGGAGGCCCGCGTAAAACGAGAAACGCGTAAATGAAATAACAGAACATATGGGATTAATTAAAATAGAGACTGGGCCGACCCCCAAACTCCACTTTTTCCGACACAATACCTACGTTGTAGAAAATAACATCTTAATTTTATGATGGTATGCACACAATTAATATTTAAGAGAAATACAGTCGCCAGGTTAATGTCCATTCAAATAATGATGGACCATCCAACTTCTTGCAATTTATAAATCTATTATTTCTAATTTCCATTCATTTTCATTAATGTATTTTATAAATTTCGAGAAAAGGGCCCCAGCTATTAATACTGATACAGCGATACACTCTCACCTCCAACATATATTGTTGCTGTATATATTCTCGTATGATCAGCCACTTATGGTGTGTGTTTTATCATTGATAATATAATATATTAAATACTGTACGTGGTATAACATGTTTAGAAAAATTATCCCGAGTCCCGGGCCCTCTGTGCGTGGGTGGCAGGAGGCTGAGACGCTCGAGGTCACTTAGGTCGTAGGCTTGCGGGCAATGATTGGCTAATGCTGTCATGTGACCTCATGGGACATCTGTAATTGGCTGATGCATCTTGTAGATGACCCCCCCCCCCCACCCCAGGCTAGCCTCAGGGCAGGCTTAGTCATAATTCTTTGTCACCAGTCCCCCTACAAGGTTCATCTGTTGTTGGCTCCTGTTTTTGTACAGTTTGTTGTCCTATGTACTGTACAATTGCTGTACAGTACATAGGACACAATCAACCTACAACACAATGTTTAAGCTGTGTTAAGACGTCAACAGTGATTTTAGTGTATAATTTTACTGGAAATTAACATTGCGTGAACACAGTACATACACTACCTCACATGGCAGTGGCCATTGTTTGTGTACCACACATTACTGTACCAAGACACCCTCAAGTAAGTGCAGTATTGTACACACCAAAATTTAGTTTTGTACAGTACAGTGAGTTCTGCTATATCGCGTGTTTTGATAACGCGAATTTGCTCTAACGCGATTTATGAAGAGGAACGATATTTGTATAACGCGAACGCTTGTTTGCTATAACGCGATTTTTGCTTACTATTTCTCCAATTTTGTGGTATTAACTGTGAATATGGTAAAGAAGAATATCTCCAAGAAGCGTTCTGGTGATAGAATTCCCGGTGATGATCGTAAAAGAAAGGATATAACACTTGAAGAGAAGCTCGATGTTATCAACCTCAAAATCACCCTTCTCCCCCATCAAGTTACATTCATATTTTTTTCAAGGTAAAGTGTTACATTTATATAATTTCATTATTAGATATGAATGTAACATTTATTTCAAACTAATGTGCTATCCTTTGTGTTAGGCTAACTACTAAATTTTTTTCGACGAGTAATCTGCACCTAACCCTATTTTCTCCATAAGCCCTGTTATTCCCATTACGCGATTTTCTATAAC